TTTCTTTTCTTTTCTTTTCTTTTCTTTTCTTTTCTTTTCTTTTCTTTTCTTTTCTTTTCTTTTCTTTTCTTTTCTTTCCTTTCCTTTCCTTTCCTTTCCCTTTCTTTCTTTCTTTCTTTCTTTCTTTCTTTCTTTCTTTCTTTCTTTCTTTCTTTCTTTCTTTCTTCTTCCTTCCTTTCTGCTTTTCTTTTTGGCAGCACAGCTAGTTCTCACAAAGCATTGCAGAATTGCAGGGCATGCTACGTTCACTTCTTAGCTCTTAGTTCTTTGACAGGCAAGGTTGTTAGTCATTGCAACAAGAGACTAAGTAATGCTCATCTGCAGACAAGAAAGGCTGTCATTGACTCTTTTGATTAAGACTTTGTTGCAGGCATTTTTTTTTGAATTTTATTTTTTTCTTATCAGTTACATTTTATTAACTCTGTATCCCAGCCGTGTCCCGATCCCTCATTCCCTCCCAGTCCCTCCCTCCCTCCCTCATCTCCACCGTGCCCCTTGCCAAGTCCACCGATAGGGGGGACCTCCTCCCCATTCATCTGATCCTGTTTTATCAGGTATCTTCAGGACTGGCTGCAAAGCTCTCCTCTGTGTCCTAACGGGACTGCTCCTCCCTTGGGGGGTGGGGAGGCCAAAGAGCCAGTCACTGAGTTCCTGTTAGAAATAGTCCTTGTTCCCCTCACTATGGGAAACCAATTGGTTACTGAGGTACCACAGGCTACATCTGAGTAGAGGTTCTAGGTTACATTCATACATGGTCCTTGGTTGCATGTCAGTCTCAGAAAAGACCCTGTGCCCAGATATATTTGGTCCTTGTGGAGCTCCTATCCTTTCCTCATCAGACTAACTCCCCTTCTTTCTTATGATTCCCTGTACTCTGCCAAAGGTTTGGTCATGAGTCTTTGCTTTGAAAACACTGCTAGTTAGAGTCTTTCAAATGCGCTCAGTAGACTCCTGTCATACGTTCAATGCACATCCCATCTGTCTTTTTAAACGAGGATTGATCATCTTACCCCATGTCCGCTCTGTTGATTATCTTTTTTAGGTGTACAGATTTCATTATGTTTATCACATCTCATAGGTCTATATAAATGAGTATATACCGTGTTTGTCTTTCTCCTTCTGGGATATTTCACTCAGGATGATCTTTTCTAGATCCCACCATTTGCCTGCAAATTTCATGATTTCCTCCTTTTTGATTGCTGAGTAGTATTCCATTGTGTAAAAATACCACAATTTCTGTATCCATTCCTCCGTTGATGGACATCTGGGTTGTTTCCAGGTTCTGGCTATTACAAATAAAGCTGTTGCAGGCATTTTTAAGAGCAGTTTCAGATCAAGTCTTACCTCTAATACCTTAGTAATAAAAGCATACAGTGTTACGGTTAATGACATGACCAGGTTGTGTATTTGTAGAATAACAATTTTCACTAGATGATCAAAATATGTGTCCCGGATGCCCTTCACTGTCAACTTGACACAGTCTAGAATCACCTCAGAAGGGAGTCTCCATGGAGGGGCTGCCTTGATCTGACTGGCCTTTGAGCATGTCTATGGGTTGTCCTGATTCTTACTTGATACAGGAGAGCCAAGCCCACTGTGGGCGGCACCATCCCTGAGCAGGAGAACCTGCACTGTATAAAAACCTGGATAAGAAAGTATAATCCAGTGTGCAAGTCAGCTAGCAAGCAGCCATCTCTGTGGCTCCTGCTGTGCTTCCTGGTTGTGAATCAGTCCCCAGGTGTGAGGTAACACCATGCAGAACAGCAAGCAGGACTGCCTCGACTTCCCTCAATGCTAGACCATGACCTGGAAGTGTAAAACAAATAAACCCTTTCCCTAAGTTGCTTTTGGAGTTGGTATTTGTCATAGCCACAGAACAAAACCAGAACAATATGTAGACACTACTATTATTTTTGTTTTAAGCATGAAAAGGGAAAAACTCCCAAATCTAGAAAAGTTAAGAAAAGCTACACAATTAATAAAATGACAGAATAAAAACCTGCTATCTCCTAGGCATTGAAATCATCATTATTTTAAGCAAATATATGCTATTTATTTGAAAATAATTTATAGCTCTATGTTTCTTGAACCATTTTCCTATAGGAATACAGATTAAGAAAGAAAGATACAAGATAGGAAAATGCATAAAAAGACACAGGTAGTGAGATGTTCACTAAATTCTTTCAAATGTCTATCCAGATGATAAAGTTGATGGCTTTCAAAGGTTTTCCTTGCAAGTCTAAGCATATAAAGCAACAAAAAAAAACATCACAATATTCATACCATTAGATATTATCAATCTGAAATGTTTCCTAAATACTCTTCATATCCTATCTACGTAGATCACAATAGTATTTTGTAAATAAGGGCTGATGCCTTTCATGAGCAGATGGGATATAATATTTATAGTAGCAGAGAAGATATTACTTTTAGAAAGAGTCTTGTTATTGGTTTGTGATTTTTGTTTGTTTGTTTTGAGACAGGCACTCAGCATGTAGTTCTTGCTGGCCTAGAACTCACAGAGATATATATGTCTCTACTTCCAGGATGCTGGGGTTAAAGGCTTGAGCCAACACGTCCCCATGTTTGTTAGTCAAAGAGGACTTAATGGTAAAAGCTTGTAATCCTTGTTACTCGAGACCTGCTTGTGAACTATTCTTTCTCCTTGACAATCCTTTGAAGTACATAGGGAACACAGCGAGAATGGTGATTTTTGGAAGGGAGGGGGCCAGAGCCTCACTCTGTAGTCCAAGCTGCCTTCAAACTCAGGATCCCCCTGCCTCAGCCTCCCAAGTGCTGGGATTACAGGTGAGGACCACCACCACTGGCAGAATGTGGTCTGTTTGTCACCTAAATCTTCAATTTCTTTTCTTGGATTAGGTCATAAATACAAATCCACATCCGTTCTCTTAAGCGGGAGTGACTCTGTGAAGTTGAGCGCTGTGGACGGCCGGGTTATTCCAGGTGGGTTCTGCGGCAGCATACAGCATAGGACGGGAAGTGCCCAAAGCTGCGCTGTCTCAGTACAGAGCGAACTCCGGATCCGAGTTCATTTTAAGTAGCCTTGAGTTTGGAATAAAGGAACTGTGGGGCAAATGCAACCCAGCTTAGTACGTCTCATCATCAGGGGACAGTTATGATCAAAGCCACCCCCTTAAATAATGGAAAGTTTGCCTAATTGGCGAGAAGAAACTCATGGGAGTAGGCAGGGGAGAGAATGCCTCGGGGATAAGCCTGGGGTTTGTTTTTAAATGTGACAAGATACCATTATTTCTCAGAATTGCAAGAAGTAATTGTAGAGTGGGCAGGCCTTCTGCTGGAGCCTTCACTTGATGGGGTGCCTTTGTGCAGAGAGAACTCCTAATAGCCTCAATTAAAAAGCCCCCTGTCCTCTCCTGAGAAGCAGGGAGGGGATATGGTGGATCCTAATTAGAGCCGCCAAGAGGGCCGTGAGCACAGACGCTTGGGCTCCAACTTCATCTCTCACTAATTGTGAGGCCTCCTTTTGAATTCCTGCTGTCAACTCACATTAAAAAGGAAGACCAAAACACTGACAGGGGGAAGGTCCTTTTCCTTCACCAAAGAGAAAGGATTTTTTAAAAACTAAAAATCCAACCGAGGGCCTTGGGCATGCTAGGCAAGCACTCTACAGCACTCCCCACTTTTTAATTTTGAGGCAAGATCCCACTAACTTGATAGAATTTACTGTACAGCTGAGGCAGGGCTCAAACGTGTCATCCTCCTGCCTCAGCCTCCCGAGCACCTGGGGATTATAGAGACAAGGCCTGGCTTGCATTTAATCTCCCTGTCTGTGTGACAGTCCCTGTCTATTCTCTCTCTTTCTCTGTCAGACAAGGTCTGACTATGTAGCCCAGGCTGGCTTCAAGATTACAGTTCTCCTGCTTCAGCCCCACGGGTGGTAGGATTATGCTCATATACCTGACAAGAAAAAGTATTTCTGACTTCTTGAAAAGCCACAGAATCGAGTGATATTTACTGATATTCTTTGTCTCCAGTGGGTGAACAGCCCTTTGCACTTGGTGAAAAGACACAAAAGGAAGCTTCAATATGGTGTGCAAACCCTTTTTTTAAAAAAAATGAGAGGAAACTAGACAACACTGTCTTCTGCTGCAGGGCAAAAGCAGCCACCTAGAGACCGGCCCAGCACTGTACTGGGGAATCATGTGCCCATGATTCTTGTTAGCTACTGAAGCAAGCAGTCATGCAGACCCTTAGTCTGGGGGAAAATCAGACTGGGTGCACCTGAAGATTTAAATTTAAACAATTTAGGCTTCCTAGTTGGCGTTACCAAGTCCTTAAGCCATGGTTGGCAGTAAGTATTAGTTTAAAAATATTTAATGTCAGCTATAGATGAATCAAGTTAATGGAAATTTTGTGTGGTTCATGAAAATTTGTTTAATTAATACTGTTTTTTAAAAACTGCACGATGCTGTTTTAAGGAGATGTTTAAAGGGAGGCAATGATGATCCTTCTGTTCATCATCTACCTTATCCAGGATACCTGCTCATACCCCAGGAGTGGTTTAACCCAGCTCGGCCAAGTTTAGTGCTTGCCTGAGGAATCCTGGCCATAATTCTGAGCACAGCAGTCTTGTCTGAGAACAAGTCAATTGTTCCCCTGTCACCTCCTGTAATTGGAGGAGTCACACAAATTTTAACTCCTGGCTAGCCACAAGATGAACCTCACAAATTATATTTATGAGCTTGCAGCTTTTCTGCACCCCCCCCCCCCCCCCAAAAAAAAAAAAAGCTGTCTTGGGCCTGCCTTCCCTTAATTGCTCTCACTAAAACCCTTTGGCTTCATTACCAGCCTATAGTATTAATGTTCAGTGCAGGCCCTGGGTTCTTTCTTTCTTTCTTTCTTTCTTTCTTTCTTTCTTTCTTTCTTTCCTTCTTTCTTTCCTTCTTTCTTTCTTTCTTTCTTTTAGACCAAGAACCCGTTTGAGGCTTAGCATCTTCAAAAGGAAAAGAGGTGGGCTCCTTCTTATTTATATTCCTTTAACCTAAATGTGTCCCCACCCCAGTCTCAGTTCTTTCTGAGACAGAAGTGGAAAGAAAATCATGCCTCCCCTGAGTGCTGTTTCTAAGCTGCTCTTTGTAATGATGGATCACAGGCAGTAGTGAGAGGTGAGAAAAAGTGGGCCTGTGTGAGTCTCTGGAAATGCAGTCACATGAAGAAAAGAAAAGGAGTCAAAAAAGCAATGCCTGTGTGCCACATTCAACTGCTGGCTGTCAGTGCCAGCCGCTCACCCAGAATAGCTTTGTGGTTCGTGAGCTACAAAGCTAGTATTGTCAGACATGCACACAACTGAGGATTAGGGACTCCTCCATTCCCAAAACATTGATCCTCCAAAAACGCCACAAGCAGAGCTCAGGAGGATCCTTTTCTGCATAGAGCCTGCATATTAGAGCCACATGGAAGATGTATGCCTTTGGAACTTTCCATGCCTGAGAAACAGGTGGCACATGTGGCCTTGGAATTAATGTTCTTTACATCTTATTCATGCAGTGGCTATTGTCACGTGGGTGATGGCTTCGTTTTACCCATCCTTGTATCCCTCACTATGGCATAGCTCTTGGAATGCCATTCATTCGTGATAACAGTTTATGAAACAGCACAGTCCTAGGGAGAAAAGGGTATAGGAAAAGGGAGGTGAGCAAGAAGTGAATTTTTCCAGGTGTAATGGCGCACACCTTTAATCCCAACACTCAGGAGGCAGAGACAGGCTGATCTCTGAGTTTCAGGCAAGATTGGTTTACAAAGTGGGTTGCAGGACAGCCAGGGCTACATGGTAAGATCCTGTCTTTTAAAAAAATACCAAAAATAAACTTAAAAACTAAAAAAAAAATGAATCCTAAGAATGGGAAGGATGAAAATACATACAGAGCAAGGTATGTATGGTATTATGGGAAGAGCAAGAATTATGGAAAGGAATATAATTCCCCTTTGTTGAAAACATGGACAGCAAATCTTGTAGAATTGCTAAGGATATCAAAGAATACTGAGAAGCAGTGACCATTTTGAGGAAGGCATTTGAAAGAGATCTTATTTTTTTATTTGTGTTCGCATGTATGTGCCCAGAGTCAAGATAAGGGCACTGTTGGGTCACCTGGAGCCAGGGTTACAGGTGGTTTTAAGCTGCCTGACATGGGTTCTGGGAAAGAAATTCTGGATGCTTGGAGGAGCAGTGAGCACTCTTAGGTGCCTAGCTATTTCTCCAGCACTTGAGCAAGGAATTTTGAGAATTGTTATGTTTTGTTGCCGTGATAAACAGGGCCAGAAGCAGCTTAGAGAAGGAAGAGTTTATTTCTGCTTATGGGTCCAGAGGGATAAGAGTCCATCATGACGAGGAAGCATAGTAGCAAGTGACTGGGAGGGCAACCGGAACGGGAAGCTGAGCGCTCACATCTCCAAACCCAAAGCCTGAAGCATAGAGAACAAACAGGAAATGGTGCACGTTTTTCAATTCTCAAAGCCCACCTCCAATAACATACTTCCTCCAGTAAGGCCATACTGCCTAAGCCTCCCCCAAAGAACACCACCAATTAGGGACAGAATGTTTAAATACGTCCCATGGGAGAGATTCTCATTCAAACCACCATGGCAGCTTTAAAATGTATCTCTAAGGGCTACAGCTTTTGACTAGCATGAGGATGCTAGAACGAACCTCTAGTAATTAAACAAACAAACAAACAAACAAACAAACCAAAAACAACTAACAACATTTGGGTTGACTATATAGCAAAACCAAGACCATGGTCATAGGAAGTGGCCTGGGACATACATAATGGAATGCAAACACTGGAAAGCCACTTGACTGACTACAAAGAAACAAACTGATCGGAGAATTGGTAGGTTGCTTATAGAAGCCTTTGGAAAATTAGGAAATTGGAGATTAGAAGATAAACAGGAGTTTAAGAGGTCAAGAAGCCAAATCATACAGCCCAAGTCATAGCCCGGAAATGGGATGATGAGAAAGTACTTCCTGGTCTCTATATTGTTGAGTGTGCCATTTGGCCAGACGGCAGCTTTGGGTCTCTCCCTGGATTACATGCTGAGGGAGGAGCATCTGGGGGAGAGATTAACATCTCTTTAGAGTTCTGTGTTCTTTTAAAAAGTTTTTAAAATTTATTTTTACGTATGTATGTGTGTGCCCACTCTTCTGTATACATACCATGTTCATATAGTGCCTGTGGAGGCCAGGAGAGGGTGACAGAGCCCCTGAGACTGGAGTTCAGGTGGTCCTGGGCTATCTAACATGAGTGCTGGGAACCTAGGCTGGGCCCTCTGCACGAGCAACAGGGCTCTTAATTGTTAAGCCATCTCTCCAGCCACTGGCTTCTGTGTCCTTGAGGTGACCCGTGAGACATCCACATGGCCATTACGTAACACCCCATCAGGCTTCTTCATCAGCGCGGCCACTCACTCCAGATGCGGCAGGGGAGGAGTCCTTCCGCATCCTTCCTTCAAACCGTGGGTGAAATCCTCCAGACTCAAAGCGCTTCATGTTTAAGTCTCTAACAAAGTTTTACTGAACACTGAGGACCTGCCGAGCATCACAGCAAGCCTTGGCGCTCTAGCGCCCTTCTTCCTCCGCAGGCCCCAGCACAGCCACAGAGAATCTCCTCCAGGCTGGCTTGGGATAAGGGAACCCTGTCGAATCAAGCACTGCGTCTGTGCTGCACTTTCACACAGATCAACTTACCTAATTTCATAAGCGTTTCACTCCTCTGCTAACGAGAAAATGGAGTCGAAGAGAGCTGCCGTCACCGCTCAAAGCAACTAAGGGCACAGGAAGCAGCAAAGGCAATGGGATTTTAGGATAACTGGTTAAAGGTACTGGTTTACAGGTGGTTCCTAGCAGAGCCAGGATTCCATCAGGTCTGCCCAGACAGTGTCGTCTGGAGCACAGTTGTCAATGGGAGTAACGACCTGGGGATCAGGCTGCTGCATATCAAAGCTCTTCTTGCGTTTTACATTTGACCCTGGAATGGAGATGAAGCATGTTCCCTCTAGGAAGCTGTGGCAGCTTGTGTGAGGCTGTGGAGGCCTCACAAGAGAGACAGTTCAGGATGGGTTAAAAGCACTTTCTTTTCTGCAGTTAATGTGGGCGGGCCCTAAGGTAATACAGAGAAAATAAAATGGACTTTCACTGTGAAAGAGGCTTAGTGAAGGTCAGAAGTAGGTGGATGGCCCAAGTCACAATGCCCCCAAATAAAACTAATGGCAACATAAAGTTATAATTCCCAGCTTGTTTATGGCCGGGATAATAAAGACTGTGCAGGTTTCAGTTTCCTGCAGAAGAGAAGATAAATGGCTGGTGCCAGATGTTTTGAAACTAAGCAAGATAAGATGAAATTTTAATTTTTACTTGCTTAACTATTACCCGTAATATTGATGACTATTAAAATGCCGGTTGGATTCATAAAACAGGGAAGATTATAGCTACCTGCTTGGTTATAGGCTAGGTGTGAAGGGTGGCTCTTTTTGTACGAGGAGATTCACAAGTGTGAAGAGTCCACATCTGGAACAGAATAATTTATTCTAGGCATTCGCTGAATTCTGTATGTGACAGCCATTTATACCAGCTCTGGAAGAACAGATTTCAGAAAATATGCTTGGTGCACATCCTCCGCCTTTGCCCGGATGATCCCTCCTGGACCCTTTGTCTCCCTTGCTGCCCATGTGGGCATCCCCTCCAGCCTGACTTCGTCTTGTGATCTGGGCTTACCCAGTACTCTCCAGGTCAAATAAATAATTACAACAAATTAAGAAAGTCATTTAAAAAATAAGCCAATTAAAAAATAGCCAGAATTTGTTTAAAAACAAACAGTCAAAAAGCTGCTGTGGTGACAGAGACAGGCAGACCAGCAAGCTTAGTCTACTTGGGTGAGCCCCGGGCCAGTGAGGGACCCTGTTTCAGAACCAACAGCAGCACAACGGGATAGTGTCTGAGGAGAACGGCACCTCTGACGTCTACATGTGTCCACACATGCTCATCTGTGCACACGCATCCGTGCACCCACACGCACAATCACCTACCCCCACACTGGCTTCACAAAAGAGTAAAGTATACCTGAACAAGTAGTTTGGAGACAAGCACATAACAAGATGATGGGGAAACAAGCCTCCTAAACAGGAAAAGACGGTTTAGCTGTGTTCTCCTGAGGGAGACGGACCTGGCCCAGGAAACCCACCAGGAACAAAGTAACGTGAAACCATGTTGCAAGTTACACAGCAGGAATACAAACTTACATTGAAAGGATGAAATGAGGTTAGATCCCACATGTCCTAGATGCAAAAGACCTTTGAACAGTGATAGAAGTTACTTTGCAAAAAAGCAAGCAAGCAAGCAAGCATTGCAGGACAGCCTGGACAACATCACAGGCACTGTGACACAGGCTTCACCCTGCTGCTGGGAATCCTCCTGTTTGTAGATTCAGTCAGGGTGAAATCCACACTGAGGGTCTTTTTAATTTTTAAAAGCTCTTTGAGGGTTCCTGAAAAAAACCATCAAATGTTTGGAGGAGAGAATTGACAAACTCTTGAAAAGACATTTGTGATGTTTTCAAATATTTCTGTCAGTCTGTGTTGCCTTTAATAGCACTGGTGAATTAATAGTATTTGAAAGAAGCTCTATTTTTCCAGTGTAGTATGAATGGAAAAATTTCACCTGTCTTAGCTGTGCCAAAGAAGGTATTAAAATGACACACATTTGAGTTTGGTGTTTCTAAAAACCAACTTTCAGAAGTTTTGCTAATGATCATGGATTAGCTCCTGCTGTTACCCAGTTACCACAAACAGCAGTTTACATGCGTGCTGTAAGTGCTTCTGCGGCTGGAGATTCGAGTACTCTGTCACCAAACGTGGCTTAGCTCAGCGACTCCCAAAGCTGCAGTCAGGAGGTAAGTGTCTGCAGTCTCCTCCAGAAACCCAGCTTCCACCTTGCTCCCTGGCAGGACTCACTTCCCTTCTCCAATGTCCTGAAGAAGTTGGCTTCTCACTGGCTGCGTACCAGAGGCCAATCTTAGCTCCTTCTGGCACCTCCGGGCCCACATGGCTGTTTGCTTCCTTGAGCCAGCTAGAGTCTCTCTGATCTTGGGAAAGGCCTGGTCTCTCTTTGGAAAGCTTATTAGTAAATCAGGATCAGACTCATTCAAGATAATCTCCCTTTTCATCAGCTCAAAATTAATCAGTTTGAGATGCTGATTGCATTTTTAAAACACCTTCATTTTCACCCAGTAATAGAAGCTAATAATGGTTTCTAGGAACTTTGATGTGAGGCTGCGCAGGAGCGGTACCCTCGATGTGGTTGGTATACAAGGGTTCTGTGAAAAGGCAACAGGGAGACGGAGGCTCTGGCCCAAGCAGGCTGTATTTAGGTCTAACCTGATCCTCTTGATTGGGAAAGTTTTATCATCTTACCCTTTAGAGTACTAGAAGTGGAACAAATGCTAACTTTAATGGGGTGATTTTAGCACTGCTTCAATCATATTCTTAGGAAACAGGGGAGAAGATGAAGGAAGAAATGAAAACACAGAGCTGAGTGAAGTGGCTTAAAAGTATTAGAACCATTCAAAGGAAACCGGATGAAGGAGAGAAACTGCCTAAACCTCTTTTAGATGAAGAGCAGGGTTGTCTTCCAACACATCCATATTACAAGTTCTTTTTGCCTTGCTGTTGACTGACACGGCTCTCTGTCTTGAACTGTAGAGTCCACTCGAGGGCTGCCCTTAACCCGGGTCATGGACATGCTCCCCCCAATCCCAGAGCTTGAGGCCACTTCTGGGGTGCACCAGCAAGATCAATCTACACGGTGAGTGATGCTCCATCTTATTGACTGTTTGATTTGTGCATTAGAAACATGAACCCGTTCCGGGAACTCTGGCTGACCCTCATCAGCATTGCTGTCTGGGCTGAGGACATAGAAGTGATAAACTTGAGAAGCCATTGGAATTGGGTGACACTAACTAAAGTACCCATTTTCTCCAAGGTTTAGGAAGGATCAGCAATCTCTCAGCCTACTAGACTAATCACTCAGTCTATTCAACTGCACCTGAAATGTCAGCTCATCCCTTGGCATCACTTGTCTTGGAGTGGAGCCGTTAATTAGAGCATGAGAAAAGGGAGCATGAGATTTGTTCAGTTGAACCCATCCACCTAAGTCATTGAAGTAAAACATTAAATTTAACATCGGCTACTCTAGCAATGTGCCTTGCTTTAATATATTCTAATCTAAAACTATGCTCAGAAGTGTCTTAGTGATGCTTTTTATTCATTCAGCAAATATGTAGTGAGTGGCTGCAGTCTTCTACAGTAAGTTAAATGTGGCAACAGGAAGGAAGAGGGGAACAGTGTCTCTGGTACTCTCCCATTGTGCTTCAGGGTGGCTGGTTGAGCCACTTAGATTTCATAGGACTTGAGAGGTTATCAGTCCAGGTTCTAGCAGGAAACTGGTGTTTTACTCAAATTGAATAAATCAAGGGGAATTTAATTAAGAGTCTGTTAAGCCAAAATGTGGAAATTCCAGATGGGGAGAATATGTTTGTGTGGGAAGAGCTGTCTGATAAGAAGCTTGAGCTCCATCAAAGGATACTGTAGCCTTCAGTTGTCCTGGAGAGAGAGAGGGAGAGGGAGGAGGAGGGGGTGGGGGAGAGAGGGAGAGGTTGGGAGGTGGGAGAGAGACCCCTGACCTTCCTTTTCTTAGCTGTGCTGGTATTCTCCACTGGCCAAGGCCAACCAGGGACAGATACACTAACCCAAGCTGAAGTGGCCTGTGTAGGCTTCTCCCAGGGCAACAAGAAGGTGGAGAGACATGGGGAGCAGATCTGGGGATATGATTGAAGATCCAGTCCAAATGGTCAATATGCAAAGTGGAAACCTAGTGACATGTATCCATTTGTGTTCAAGAAGAAAGCATGCAGGTCTTAGGGCTGTCATGGTCTGCTGTTGGCTAGAAATTCCTATGTTTAACGAGTGTGCCAGGGAGAGGTTTCTGAGCCCTGTGTCTGACACCTCGAATGGTGGTCCTCAAGCAGGCCTGTTCAGGCTCACAGATAAACATGCCCCACTTTGTTCATTCACTTCAAAAGTGGGCTTGGTGTCAAGAACTCTACTCACTGGCAAAGGTGACAAGGCAGTTAACAGGGACATTCAAGTAGAGGCCCTGCAACTCCAGTGATGAATGTAGAGTAACACGGGTCTAGAAGAGCTTACCACAGAGGCACCAGTCAGATGACAAGATACCTCGCATTGGCTAGATCCTCAACAAACATACGGAGTGGGAGAGTCTTTCTGCTGCTGTCCCACTAGTACCGTGGTCTGTGGCAACAGAGAGACCTGAAACAACTCTTATGTTTTTATTGAAAAGAAGCCAAAAAATCCCATGAAGGCAGAGTCAAGAGGAATCTCTAGGCTTTCTCTGTCCTGTGCTTGTAAGTTTTTCATCACTCCAACGCTGTTCTTGTAGAGATACAGGGGGGCATCAGAGTAGAGCACAGCAGTAGATAGAGGCCCTAGCCAGTGGCAGAAGATGTTACAGGATACAGTGTTCTAATGTAGACAATACTAAAAAACAAAACAAACAAACAACACCAACAAAACACACACACACACACACACAACTACCTAGGTGAATATTTGTTTTTTATTAAAAAAAACAAAACAAAACAATAAACCTTTCAGGCTATTCGTGGACAACCTGGACTGAAGACTTTGAAGACTGATGAGAATTTTATTTTGTGAGAGAGTGGGCTGCTAACGCCTGGGTCCAGCTGAGGAGGTACTTAGGGGATGGTGAGGAAGGAACCCTGGCTGATGGGAACGAGCTGGAGAGTGTGTGTCTGACCCATTGGATCAAGGGAACAACAGTGTGTCAAGAGCTGCTGCAAGCCACGGAAAACAAGCTGACGGAGCCCAGGAGAGAGCAAGAGAGTTTACATCTCTGCTCCAAGTCTTCGTCTTGAGGAACCAAGAATAGCCAAAAGGGAAAAGCCTTTTTCATCAGGTCATGTTGCAAGTGCAGGATCATTTTTGTTTTTGTTTGCTTGTGTTTTCTATACAGATGAGTGGTTTCTATTTGATAAATTACTCAAGAGGGGCTGTGTATGGGCTCAGACGTTTATTTGCATGTATAAATCTTGCCTCCTTTTGGCATAGACTGTTTTTTTTTTTCTTTAATCCAACTTTGGAAATAAAAAGAATTGAAATGAAATGCCCTGAGTATTTAAATTTGATGGCAAATATTTCCTTGGATTCTTTTGGCTCTCATAAGCACAGGCATCAGTTTCAACAAGAAACACTCATAGATGAAACACCAGTTCTTCTTATTGGAAAAAAATCATTTCCCGGAGCTAAGATGGAGTGTGGTCTTCCAATAAGATCATATGACTAAAATTGCCTATCTGAACAGCAGAAGTGAGGATGCCCCCCCACCCCAGCTCCCCTGATCCATCTCCTGTGAGGCAGGTAATGATTGCTTCCCTGACCTTCCTTGGAAACAGTCTCAGACCCCATGGGAGAGGCGCTTCTCTCATCTCCAGGCATAAACAAGCAGCACCGTTGTCCCCAAAGATTAAGGGCACTTGTAGAGTGGGGACAAACAGGCCTTGCTAGGTTCCATCCTCATCAATCGTTATCTAGCTCCCAATTTTGCCCTACCATATTCTCCATCACTCTGTTCTTCACCAAACACTCTCAAGTGTTGAGCCGGGGGGGATGGCTCCGTGGGTAAAGCGTTGGCCGTGCAAGCGTGAGGACCAGAGTTCTGATCCTCAGCACTCACACAGAAAGCTGAGTACAGGTCGGTGATCCCAGCAGGATGGGGGATGGATGGGGGGAGGTTGCTGTCTAATCAAAATGATCATCTTCAGACTCTGTGAAAGATACTGTCTCAGAAAACATGGTGGAGGGTCGGTGAGATGGCTCAGCAGGTAAGGGTGCCTGCTGAAGACCCAAGCTTCGTCTCTGGAGCCCACATGGTAGCACGGGAAAACCGACTCCTTCAAATTGTCATCTTACCTCCAACTGTGCACAGTGGCACATGTTTGTACAAACACACACACACAGGATAAATAATAGTGATGATAATGATGATGATCAGGTGGATCTAATAGAAGACAACACCTCCCATTGGCCTCTGGTCTCTGTGCTCATGCATGAGCTTCTGTCCCTGCACACACATGAGCACATGTGCATGCTCGCATGCACACACACACACACACACACACACACACGTGCACACACACACACACACACACGCACACACACACACACACACGCACACACACACACACACTCATTCTTTGGGTTGTCATTTTTATATAAAGGCTGTTGGGCCAGATAAAACGTATTTATATAAGTTAGTATATTGTATCTTTTTAATTTTTGTTAGACAGGCCTCACCTCAGACATGCACTTAGAAAGGTAGGAGAGAGAGACAGAGAGAGGGAGAGAGAAAATGCTCTGATCGTCAGGCTTGGCAGCAGGTTATCCACTGATTCATCTCTCTGTCACCTTTTTCCTCCCTTCTTACATAAGCAACTAAGAGAAAAAGTATGTTCAAGAACTTGTTATTTTTTTATTTCTAGCTCATAAAGTAAAATTTTAATTTTGAAATTTAGGCACTGGAGATTTGGCAAATGGAACTCAGCTCATTTTTTTCTTGTCTTGTCTGGGTATCCCTAATTAACAGATGAGTCAGCTCGGGTCTCAGATTTTTCTGCAGTTTAGGCTTGCCACATGATGAAGTGTGGATATTCTACGATTTCAAAGAGCCAAATTATGGTTTCTCTTCACAGTCCCTATTATCCCCTGACAAATGACTTGGGAATCAGCGGGAACTTGGCTTACTACAGGCATACATTAAGCTTCTGGCCCTCCTGGATTGTGGCAGCCTTTAGAAAACTATTTCACTGACTTACATTGAATAACATCCTCTAAAAAACAGTGAGAAACGTGCAAAGGTGTAGAAAGCTGGCACTCTGCTCTGGGGTGTGTTGCTGGCCACAGAGGAGCAGGTAACATTGGGCTGGCATCCCACAAGAACTCAAGCTGACAGAATGGCTTCTGGCTGTGGGGAATCACTTCTCAGGAAGGCGGCTTCCTCTCGTGTCTCAGAACCATCACCCCTCATATATATATATATATAATATATATATATCCCCTCCACACCATCCTTTTCATGGCTATTAGTTACAATTATTTTTCTAGTTATTCATATCTACCCTCATCTTTCGACTAGATGCTGCATGAGAGCAGGTAACATACCAGATTCTGCGCCCTGGAGCATCTGGACCAGCTGATATAGTGTTTAGTTCACAGTGGGGTCTTCATAAATGTTGGCTGGGTGAAGAGCCATTTATAGAGTGCTCATTGTATGCTGACACGAGCCACGTGTAGCCAGTTTCATGGCTCCCTCACGAGGACATCTGCCACTGTTTTCCCTGGGAAGCTCAGTCAAAAGAAGCTCTTTTATTTGCCTTCCTCCTCATGGACTTTAGGTAGAGAAAGAAGCAGGGCAGATGGTGGACTACCTGAGGGGAGGAGCTGCACCATGGAGCTTCTCTTCTGGGAGGGCAAGGGCTGGGTAGAATGCATCTTGCAGGGCACTTCAGCTTGTGGTTGCTGCCTGGCCCCCGGCCCTGGACATCACCCTGAGCCTGGTGGTTCTGCTCCCATCTCCACTCAGCTAGTGCTAATAATAATAATAGTAATAATAAACCCATGGTCTTAATGTCTTCTATAATCCATGGCTTCCAGTGGCTAACACTGACCCTGGCGTTTAGTGGTTTGAATTCGACTGGACTCGGTCCATGCACTTCACTTCCAGTTTAAACCTTCACTGAACCATAGTTAGCTACGACCTATGCTGACCTCGAGGTCAGTGTCAAGAGTGTGTTGGAGAGTGGAGAGAAGAAACACGGCCCCTCACTGGGTTGCTGCCACAGTTGCTCTGCCACTAGTGAAACATGGTGGAACAGGAAGAGGGTGGACGGAGAAGAGAACACAGGGAAAGCTACTGGTGCATGCAAATGCCTTTCTATGCGATGAGGGTGAGAACATCTCCGTTAGGGTTTCTTCTATAGCTACGATGAAACCCCATGACCCAAAAGCAAGTTGGGGAAGAGAGGGGTTATTCAGCTTACACTTCCACAGCACTGTTCCTCTTCAAAGGAAGTCAGGACAAGAACTCAAATATGGCAGGATGCTGAAGGCAAGAGCTGATGCAGAGGCCATGGAGGGTGCTGCTTACTGCTTGCTCATCATGGCTTGCTCAGCCTGCTTTCTTAAAGAACCCAGGACCACCAGCCCAGGGATGGCACCACCCACAATGGGCTGGGCCCTCCCCCATTGATCACTAATTGAGAAAATGCCTTACAGCTGGATCTCATGGAGACATTTCCTCAACTGAGGCTCCTTCCTCTCTGATGGCTCTAGCTTGTGTCAAGTTGACACACAAAACCAGGCAGTACAAAGAGTGATCAGAGACAGACAGACAGAGGGGGGGACACTATGGAGGAAGCAGCAGGCTTTTGCCTGGAGAAAGCAGCATTGCCAAACATGTAGCTGAGGGTCCTGGTTTCTACAAGAAACCAAATGTCCCAGGGCCCTTCCTCCCACGCCTGTGCTTTTATCCTAGCCTCCAGTTCAGTTTGCTCCCATTCTGTACTCAGTCACCCCTGGGTGAGGCAGCTGCTCAGACCACCTTCTCTTTCCTGATCTTTTTCTGGTTGTTAACATTCCCTTTTCTTCATCATTAGAAAGTTCTGTGTCCTGTCTTCCTTGCTGGCTTTTGAATAATGTCGTGTGTTTGTGTGTGTGTGTGTGTGTGTTTTGTTGTGTGTGCACAAGCAATCATGCACATGCATATATGTGTGTGTGCATGTGTTTTCTCTAGAACTTAGTACTCTTATTGGACTTCTCATATTCTGCTCAGCCTGCTTTCTTGTAGAACTCAGAACCACCAGCCCAGGGATGGCACCGCCCACAGTAGGCTGGGCCTTCCCCCACTGACCACTAATTGAGAAAGTATATCAGAGATATTTATTTATGTCGGTTTCTTCTCCAGACTGTGAGAAGGGGAGCCACACCCAGTTTCTGCGTCTCCAGAGGCAGGGACTCACTTCTTCCTGGTCTGTACTCTCCGGCAGTCCTCATCCTGGCTGGTGATAAATGTTATTTGTAAATTCGTTAAGTGGTTACTTATAAGGGGTAGGATTGCTGGTTTACACACCAGGGTCTGCTAACATGATAATCATGTTCTTTAATAAACATGGTGGTGGGAACTGTACCCAAGAATTCATCATATGGAATTATACTCAGCCATAAAGAAAAGCAAAAATTGCAGGAAAACATATTAACTGATGTAACCTAGATCCAGGAAGACATATACATATTTTTTTCTCATATGGATTCTAGCGGTTAATGATCATACGTTTGTGGGAGGGGGGGTTCCTGGTGTAATACTGGATAGGGGACCTCAAAAGTAGAGAAAAGAGAGGAAGAGAGGGTATAGAGTACAGGTGGCATGAAAAAAATAAAAAATGTTACTAAAAGATACAAAGGGCTGAGGGGGAGGGAATGGAGGGGAGAGAATCAAAAGAAGCAAATTATGCTGGAAAATGCTACCATGAAACCAGCCAGTGCAGCCCACAGTTGCTGTCCATCATGAAGGAAAGTCAGGGCAGGAATTCAAGGCAGGACCTGAAGCAGAGGCCATGGAGAAATGGTGCTTACTGGCTTGCTCGGCCTGTTTGCTTATATAACTCAGGACCACCTGCCCAGTGGTGGCATTGGCCTCAGTGGGCTAGACACCCCACATCTATCATTAATTAAGACATACAGACTCGCCCACAGGCCAATAAGATGGAGGAATTTTCTCAACTGCAGTTCCTCTTTTCAGATAACTCTAGCTTGTGTCAAGTTGACAAAGAATGGACTGGAACAGATGGCAGTCTTAGGGAAAGAGATGTGAAAGGCTTGCTTGCATTTTAAAAATCTGGCTATGATCTGGGAACAGGGATGAGTACTTCTGGTCTGGCTCTAGTTTGCCTGCCAAGATTTGGGGTTTTATTTATTTTATTTTACTTAATAATCATCTAATAAACTCACACATGGCAAACAAAAACATCTAAATATGACATGTT